TGGAAGCACGTTGCACATTTCAATATTGTTCAAAATATCGGAGTCATCAGAAGGGAAAACTGTGTTGTGAGCAGGGTCAATCGGCACGTTCGCACTTTTTCGAAAATTTTGCGACCCCGACCCACCATCACCATCAGTCCTATCGTTAAAGGGCTCCCCCAATACGATCCCCTTCCCCTTCTCCAACCAAACCTTCCCCGCTATGATAAGCTTTCTCAACCCCAAAATGCAACCTTTCCCCTTCCCGAAATCACAAACGCGAGGACGGTTGACCCTGATTTTGAGTCCTAGGCAACATTGAAGTCATCGTTTTCGTCACTTTAACCCCTTCCAATATTCCGAATCAGCCAGCTCGATGGACTGTAAGGGTCAGATCTGCTGGCAAGTTCTCCTGCTTTTGCCCTTAGCCAGTTATATTTCCATAGGAAGAATGATTTCTTGAAGATAGAGGCTGGGCGAGGGTGGAGGGCTGAAGGATCACTCCTGTCATCCTATCCAGGCAAAAACTCCTTTGAGCGAGCTCTTCAGAACCAAGACTAGATAGGCAAATGACTCACCTTAAAAGTGCCTTCGATCTGAACCTAAGATGTCCTTCATCTCACACATACTGCTCCCTCTTGGGCTATTTTCGGCACCTGGGCACCAAGCTCGGGGTACTTTACCCTTAAGCCTAGGCAAAGATGTCCATTCCCCTTGTTCAGGATCATTTTAGATGACGGCAGTCAGAAATGTGAGCGCGCCTGTGAGTAGTAGTGCCTTCACACTACGCCGGTTCTTATCAGAATGCATCTGAATGGGTCGACTACATCTGTTGAGCTCTCTCATCCTTATCTTTTGCTCTTGCAGAGCGCAAAGGAGTGCTCCTCGTTAACCCAATTTCATCGGATTCCATAATTCGTAGCCCCACACTTTAAATCGAACTTGGCTCGACTTGACACTTCCATTGTGAGGGAATTAGGTTATAGATTCCGATGATCTGGAGGATTGCCCTCTTGCAACGAAACCGCGGTGAAGTTTCTATGTTCACCTAAAATCCAGATCCCTTTCAGACTCGCCGCATGTCAAGCGCCAGGCCTCCTTGATCCTTTTCGCGACCTGGTATCCAGAAAAAAAAAACCGACTGGCGCAAGCTGGCTTGGGCGGCTAGGCCACACCCTTGCGCAGCCATGAAGCGCGTCATATGGGTAAGCGCTGCGCCAAATTGGAAAATACTCCTGTGACAAGTCATGCGATGAGAACAAGATGGAGGTTGTTGGCTTTTGCATCCTGTAGTTATCGCTTAACGATAAATGAGCTAGCCTACTGATTATGAGGAGATCAGAAGGAGGCGGATGAATGTCTTGCAGTGTGACACATTATGGACCTGCAGCAGACACAAGTGCTGGTAACTGCCCGAGTGATAAACCCAACCTACCGAAGCTCATAGCTATGACTGATGACTGAAAAATAAAAGGAAACGGTAATCCGACCCTCGGTCTTATCATGTTCAATCACATGACTGCATCGATTTCGACGGCCTATACTTTTCGACCAAGAAGTGCACGCAGCGATGGCACGAAGAAGCTCTAATTTTTGCAGGCCACAACTTTGATCTACTTTTGATGTTAGATGTGTTGTAAAGTCTGCAATCACGACATACACACAATGCAAGAAACAGTGGGAACGGATCCTGAGATCAAAGCTCTCTAACAAGCTCAGTCAAAAAATGACAAATGTTTCAGCAAATCATTTCAGTCACCATTTTCACAATTTTGTCTCATCAGTTTTTTTCGAGGACCGAAGGGCGCTTTTCCCACGCAATCACCACCATCGGGTTATTCTCCATTTATGGTTTTCGCCGTTCATGGGTTCGCGTGACAATTCTTGGCTTTTCATCTTATTAAAGGGGCAATAAAAGTATTTGAGGGTAATTGAGGGCTAACGTAAGCTCCTAAAAATCGCTTAAAGATACCTTTAGGTAAAAGCATGGAAAACATTGCAATCTGATGCGTTCAATCTCCTTGTGGGATAAGCCATACATCCTACTTGTGTTCAAAATCATAGTGACGTTTGCAACATGGGGACCAGCCGGTGTATAGGTCTTTTTTCACACGCGTTTCTCCCCCTCCCAGCCCAGACGAGTTTAGCACCGACTGACCTGCTCAGTTGTGGCAATAGCTCTGTGATCCTTCCTGAAGAGATTCCAGAGCACAAGAAAAGCGAAAAAAATCTCGACTTACTGAGGGTAATTTTTGAAGGGACGCTGTTTTCGCTGGTGCTGGAGCCTGTTGTGGTAATGACAGTGATGGCGTGTCTATTTGTGGGCTAACGTAGGCTCCTAAATATCGCTCAAAAATACCTTAATGTCCGAAGCATTGAATTTTCCAAGGAAAATATTGTTCAAATTCACTTCACAGCATATTCTAGTGTTAGGACATGGCCAGCGTAATTGAGTTCTACTTTACAAGTACCAATACGTGCATGTGATCAAAATCCCCAAATGAGAGCGGCTTTACCTCTGCCAATTCCACTGGCTCCGAAAACACCGCCACCCATTCCGCCGCCGCCCATTCCGCCGCCACCCATTCCACCACCACCGATTCCACCGCCTCCACCTCGACCAGCTGCAGTTCCGCCGGGACCAACTCTACCGCCTGCAGGCATGGGTGGCGCTTCGTAACCTGCAATAAGTTTATTAGATAGGCTTCAAGTAGAAGATAAAACTAGAAAAGAAGAGGAAAACACTTGGCATCCATCAGGCCCCCTCTGGAACGCGCCACGCATGACATACCCACAGAATAATGTACTTTTCAGGAAAATTTTTGCAGACGAATCGGCAACAAACTTTGGGTTCAAGCTCTTGAGGGCACTGACATCGAAGAGAGTGTTTGCAAAAACTTGTTGGGGCAGCATCCTCAGCGATTCATCATCTATACGAGCTAAGGGAAAGACCCTACCGAGTGTGAATCAGGTGCTCCTGAAAATGATTCCACATGAACTAGACGTTGTTGAGATTAGTACCTTCTCCTAATGGGCATCTCCAGCAGCGAAACGACAGCTAGCCCGACTGTACGAACGTTTGTTCAGCATGGTTGGGAAGCGATCGTACGTACTACGAAAGAGTAACTCGGCGCCTCTAGCCACATCGCTTTCGCCGTTGACCTCTTGGAAACCACCCCCGTTTCAAGAACAAACTAAGCATGCCAATTTCAATTCGCATTTTCTTCGGTAGTTTTCCAAGCCAGCTTATCTCTCACATTGAGTCAGATTAAGATTCAAAGCCGAACGGATGGATCCTCTTAATGCGCACTTTTGCCAGTTCACTGTTAAACGCGATGGTTCAATGAAAGTGTGGGGCTGTGGATTGCACGACAGGCAGACACCTATTTAGCCTAATGGGGTAATTTGGGGGGCTGGACAATGCTTAACGGAGTGACGTGACGTGTTCAAAAAACTCACAAACGTATCGCAATCCATCTGGAACAAGCCGCGATTTCGTGCGCTTATACGGGTTTGGATTTTTTTAGGAAAGTTCCCTGATATCAGGGACCTGATGTGTTAGCCCGTCTAATACGTCGTCTCTCAGGTTAGGTTAACGATAACGAACGAAACAGTATCAAAAATAGGTGAGCTTACCTGCAAAGCTTGGCCTTACCGCCTGCGGGTATGGCACGAACGATGGTTGTGGTGGTGGAGGTGGAGGTGGCGGTGGCGGTGGTGGTGGAGGACCACCAATCGAAGCTGATATCATTGGAGCTACTAGGATTGGAGGTGATTCCATGGGACCTCCTCCACCTCCTCCACCTCCTCCGGCACAGCCAGCTGCTGCAGCTGAGACAGCGGGCATCATCATGCTGCATTTTAAAATTAGTGTCAAATAGAAATGAGCTTATAGTAAAGATTGATCGTCAGTAGTGTAAAATCGTGTCGAACTTTTTTGAATGGAAAGGCAAGCTTTCTCTTTCTGTCGAAGATTCTCATCGAAGAGAAGAAGAGTACAAAAATGGGTCTCTTCTGTGCGAAGAAATTGCTCACAAGTTTGGTAGGTACTTGGCAGGTAGAAGAGTAAACCTCTTACCATTACGGGCTACAAGTACCCAGGGTAAGGTAACCTACGAACGAAGTCGTTTTCCTCAACGCACTCTCTATCTCGACCGCCTGGGATGAACGGACACATTTCGCTGCTGAGAACGGTGGGTAATAGCGTGGGTATAGCTTCAAATAGACCATGAAGTGACATTTTTTTGCTGTAGAATTCAGGAGACGTCCTCTCGTGACGAGTTCCAATTAGGCACTTTATATAGTAGTCAGAACGGCGATGTCAGTTCCGCAGCTCAAATGCGTAGCAAGGACGAGTGGGTCCTGTGCTTCAACACTGACCTACCATTCACGGTCACGTTGATGTCTGCGTCTTGATTGTCACCTGCACCCTCTCGTCTCCAAATTTTTCTTTTGCGTCGTGCACAGCATGTGTCGTACGGACACTTCTGTCGCACCAAAGAAATTCACAACCTTTACAAAATGAAGTTCTATCTACCTTTTTAGTGTTTCCAGTGGTTCCTATTTTTCACGAATCCAATGTGCTCTTCCATCTCGGATTTCGGAGCGCGGCGGCAGCACATTTGGAAGATTACGACATTGCGCCTTCAAAAGCAGGCGACGCTGTTACCATGATACGCACCGACCCTAGAAAATGAAGCCACAGGTCGTTTTGAGATCCTCAGATCACTTCTCTGCGTGAGTGAGGTTACAGAGTCCCTATACGTTGAAAACGGGCAACTGGGGGACTAGAAAGTGCTCGACTAAGCGCTATGTCTTTGCTTGGCCGCTGCAACCGCTGCCATTTTCACTCCCTAGCAGCATGCAAGTGTCTGTGCTTTCATGTCCGACGTGCTCTCTCGCAGACCCTTTGTCCTTACAGCGTTGTGTCCATTCGTCGCACCACGCTCCACCTTACAGGAAAGGGTCTCCAATATGAGTGTTCTCTACGGTCCCCTGGCACACTTTTCTTCCAATGACAGTCCTTTCGCAGCTTCTGCTTAGCGGAATAACGCACCATTCGCGACCGGTGCCTTCAAGCCTTTCGGGACCTCATTGTACAGCTGCCGAGACAACAAGTTCCACTAGACTCCGCGTAGACTCTGACGCGGCAATTTATGGCTATGCTTCCTGTGCAGTTGATATACCATTAGGGGACTACTTCGAAGCAAGGGAACTGGTACTCAGAATGCCTTCGCAAGACAGTCACGACACGTTGATCCAGGTTGCGGTTAATCCACTACTTCACTTGCGTCGTCCTCAGATGCAACGATTGATCCTTTCCAAAGCTGCCAATTAAGAGAGGGAAAGCTATTGGTAGACCCTCCTTTTCATGTGGGGGGGGGGATAGCAACCTTTAGGAAACTCCACATAAAGGCTAATTCATGGTTTATTTCAAAAAGAAGGATCACTGAGAAGCACTTTACCCATCACCCATCCGACTTCGTCATTCGCACTGCCACAGACGCGTACTCCAAATATGGGGAGGAAATGCTTCATTAGGTATCGATTAGGCACTGTAATCAAGGCAAAGACTGTTAGTGCAACGGAAGCCTAGTTCGTTTGTCATAAAGCTGCTGGTCATTTCTGGCTGATCACAACTACGCTAGCTGTGACTCAGGAAACCGGTTTCCGCCGGGGCGTATCATTTCACGGTTCTGACTCGTTCAAGCACTGAACATTAATGAATGGTCCAGTTTTACGAGTCTAAAGAGAACCTATTTTGGTTATAAATTTTTCGTGCAGCACTGTCTGGCTGTCAAATCCCCAGTTAACCAGTTCAATGTATGCAAAACGAACGAGACCACCGATGAGCGATTTACGGAAAAAAGTGCGTCAGCAATCCCATGTTGCCGACCCATCCAGCTAGACACTTCGGGACGAAATGTGTTTTTGGCTTGTTCGACGCCATAAACTGTTGCTATGCGGAATGTTGTGGCTACAAAATGGCAATCAATCCTCCTTCGAAGCGATCACGACAAAAAACGTTTCCATTCAAGTCACCGTGAACAAAAGAAGAAGGATAAGCCGCTTGAATGCATAAGCAAAGATGATTCAACTTGAAATTATTCGGCCCTTCTTTGCTTTGTTTGGGAACGGGGTGGGAGGGAGGTGGCGGAACTCCTTGGAAAGCATGCTGGCGAGAGATGAAATGCTTTGAGGAATGGAATTGATCCGTCATTTAACTCGTAGCTCGGCACCCTAGTGACTAATACAAGTATTTGATCCCTTTCATACAATGTTCGAATAACGCGTTGGGTGCAGGACGTACGAGTGTGGGAGGGGGGGGGGGCGAGAAGAAAGGCATTCTGCCCATGCTACGAAGCAATTTTCCCGTCGCAAGGTTGCCGCCGTTGACGGATGTTCATAGCAAAATATTCTTTAACCCATTCGCGACCGCGCAGGATTGCGCAATAGCAGCAGCGTCAGGAGATTTTTCTTCAATAAAATTTGAGTGGAGGGAGATTTCCTCTGCCCAGGGCTGGCGTAGATGAGCGAGGGTATGAAGATTCTTTTCATGGAAGAAAACTTTCCAAATTCCATTTCAAGCCCTGCAGCCACAGTAATGCCATTGTCCCGAGTGAGAGCTTTGTCAGCCACCGGTGGCTGACATTGTCACGAATGGGTTAAATATTCATCTATAAGTTGACATGAGCCCTCCTTCACTGCCCACACCGTTTTCAGAATATGACTTCATCTGCCGTCGTCGTCGAGCTCAAGCAGAGCCGTAATTTCTTTAGCCTGGAGTTCTTACATAATTCCTCGAGAAGATTCTCTATTGAATGGTTCCCTAGAGACATCAACTACAAGTGTGCTTAACCCCTCCCAACTAGCGTTCCTGAGCATGAATGTAGAAATCGTCTTGAAAACCGCTGAGCTTGTCCCGTGCACCTTGTTTCCGTGGCAGATTTTTCTTAGGTCGCTATGAGATTTTTTCTTAGTAGAATGGGATGCGCTCTTTAATTGCGAGCTTAGATGCATTTTTTGTGTATCTAGCGAAGGGCGATTACTTGAATGATGGAACAAAATGTCCTTTTTGCCCCCCCCCTCACGTATAGTGGAAAGTGGCGCCACTCTCTATGCGTCGAGAATCTAATTATCATAGATTGGATCCCGTTTGAGCCAACATAACTTTTCATTTCACTCCGAGGTAGGTCTAGCGATACCGGCTCGGACGTGTTAAAGGCAAACCCCGGGATTAGCCCGACTAGTAGGAAGGATACCGCGAGGGAAATTGTAAGGTCCGTACCTACCTAGATCACTCCAGCTTCGTCGCAAAAATTGCGCGGTTAGGGCGCTAATCCTTACGGGCCTGCAACCATCGACCCCGTTGCAACGCTTCCCACCCACCGCGAGAGTGGTGAGATCAGCGTGCATTGATGTAGAGATCAGCGTGCTCTCTCAAACGACGTGCTCTCTCGCGTATTTTGTCTTCTTTGATCGCCCTGTCTCGCCATCGTACCACATCCGACCTTATTGAAGGTTAAGGCCTTAATTTCAGCGTTCCCAAAGATTTCTCTTGCTTTCCTTTCCACTTTCAGGTCGTTCCGCAGCTAAGCTATCACTACGAAGCGCTCTAGCACCTGTTTTATCCCGGGGCTTGCCTCTGAGTTCCCCAACCGTCAGATCTTTTGGATTATTTGCCTCTTTTGTGTTTTCCCTATTTGCTGTTCTTCAAATTGAGCCCGTTTTTCATGACGCGGTCTACAAGTTTTAAAAAGATGGTATTTCAATAATATGGTGAAATTCTAATTCTAAATATACCATTTTCCAGAATATCGCATTCGGATTAGTCAACAGGACCTCTCTGCTGCATACCACGATTATCGTATTGAAACGAGAAATCGCTAACGACGGTCAAGGAGTGAGGACGAAATATTTGAAAATGGCAGAATTACAGTTCCCAAAATAATTGAACACACGTGGTGATCAATACGATAACAGAAAAAACGAAACCATAAGAACTGATTTGCCAAAGAAAACATCAGCTCGGGAAGTGCAACGTAAAACAATTATGGAAAGAATTTGATAAGTGCAAATAAAACAACTATAATCAAGCCAATCAATCGTAACCCACTCGGATTTC